CTCAGGCAACTGCAGTCGACGTTTGAAGCTTGGAAACAGGGGCGACGTGAAAGAAGTAGAATGAAAGCATTAGCGTGTGGCGGGTTTTAGGAGGTATGAGATTCAGCGGCGTCAATGGAAAAAAATCTAAAAGGAGATGACAGTATGCTAAATGAACCCAAGAAAGGTGAATACGTTTGTTGATCTAGAAGCACGGTACTATTTGGGACGGGGTAGGCGCCTAGTTTTAGGAAAGTGAAAACTTTGTCGCCGAGGTAACTAGCGAGGGGCTAGCCGTTGGACTAGTTGAGAACGGACGGTATTTTTTGCTTACCAAAGCGTCATGATATCGGGGTGTGCAGAAAGTGGGGTAAATGTGAGCAGTGACAGTAGACAAGTAAAAAACAGACAAGCAACGGCTTCCCAGATAATTGATAAGAATCATAGCTTAACTGAGGTCTACTACATCAATCTAACAGAAAGTGAGGTTAAAGATCGCTACTCGCTGAGTCGCTCCTGCCACCTCCAGAAAACGAATGGTGCATGGCAAAAAACAGCCGTTAAAGGCTAGCTGTGACTGATTGTTATCAGGAACTCATAAGTCATTAGTATTTTGTGCATTTGATCGCTCTAGATGACAAGAGGGAAGAACGTGTGCGCTGTTTTGATGATAAAGTGAACTAGGGTGGCGTGACCCCAGTAAGACGAAAGTGGCAACAGTTTGCACGCCGTGAGCCTCACACGTCACTCTCAGGCTACCACATGCATGAATGTTTTTTAATATTTATGTATATATATTATATATTTTTTAGAACAAACGGAAGGACAACTGTCGTCCGTTTGTATTTCTTGGTGTTGTTGGGCAAGTGACAACCGGAACAAAGCCAATCCAGCCACAGACAAACAGCAACGCTGCTCTTTTTGGTTTTCCTGAATTAAAGGCCAGGGTCAGAACTACCGGCGAGTGGCAATACACGCGTTCTACTGAAGGGGTGGCGGGTATACGAATGCACCATGGTGCAACGTAACAGGGCGAACCCGTCCAACGCACGAGGTTTTCATCCCTCGTGAACGCTACCAGATCTGCAAGGTGGAAAACCATCCAAGCAGTCATAAGTGCGGTTTGTGCATTAATAAATGACTCCAGCTACCAGATATTTTATCCGGTCGGGGGGGAAGCCAGGCCAGGAAAACAGCTCAGTCGTTTCGAGCAAGCAAACAGCGAACAGCTATTGGAAGAGGCAAGTCGCGGAAGTAAATGAAACATCAACTAACTTTTGAGCAATGAGAGTATAATAGAGATGCTCAGAACCTGTGTACTATGGTTAAACGAAGACGAAGCATTGGTCTTAACCACTCTGTCAAGTAGAGACGCACCAGTGTTGTGTGTGTGAATTATTGGATTGTGGGACCAAACAAGTATTTCATTCATAGTGCATCTTCAGACCGCCCATTTGATATGTGTGCGCCGCGCGTGTTCAGGGGATACAATATGGTTCGAAACAGCGTGGAACTGAGGCTTTAGTTTGGCTGAGGTTTGTTAAATCCAGCCAAAGCAAAGCACCAGACATTAAACAGAGCTGATAGAGTTACACAGGAGTGGGACCAGGCTTGAAGAATTAGGAATAATTGGGCTGGATACAAAAGCCTAAACCTGGAGGAGGGATATGCAACCATCTCAGTGGAGACGGGTATGAGAGCGATAAAGTGGTGGGGCATAGATAAGAACACTTGAGAGGGTGGTTGTCGCACTTGCGGACTAATGCTACGGGTTTCAGGCTGGTAAGTGTAAGTGCTAAGACCCAGTAGTAGCATAGCCAGGGCGAGTGCGCAGACTAGAAGGGCTTATGGCCTATTTCAAAAGTGTCTAGTGTAAGCTGAGGCGCGAAAAAGCGCTCAGCTCCCTCAATGGAAAGGTAAGAATCGATGGTCTTTCGAAAACCTAAGTGAGATGAGAGATGATGAGATGGTAAATAGATAGATAGTATGTCTAAAGGCAGTTCGATATGTCCACAGTGAGAGTAAACATCCAGAGTTATGGATATTATAGGGAGTACAGGAAGAAATTCAAAGTGACAGCCATGTAAGCCCGCCGGTAGATTAGGCGATGCAGAAGGCCCAGACTCAACCTGATGCGCCTTAGCCATAATGAATCCAGCTCAAGTGACAAGCAACGTATACGATACAGTAGTGTGGATGACACCGGAAACAGGGTCTTAGTAAACGAGCGCTGCGTATTCTCCACAGCAGTCCGACATGTCTGTGAACACTGTGAGGCGGATTCAGGTCTTACAAACTGTTTGAAAATGGTAATTAAGCAGAATTTATCATAGGAGGGTTGGTGAATGTAAGCGCAGAACTTGTGAGCTATAACGACTCTGTACCCTGCATGTTGGTTGAAGCTAACTGTACAGGAATACCTGAGGCCTGGGTCTCTCACTTCGGGACGAGTAGGAATGGAGAGTACGTTAAGAATAAGCGTCCCAGGAGGAATTTGGAATCGATGTGACAGCGCTTGGCATTTTGGAACAGCGAAAGAAAGACAGGAGTTGAAATACCAGAGTAATAAATAATTCAGGTCAGACTGAATGTTAGCATGAGTAGCAACAGAATCACTGGCCTTAAACGTGTAAGATATCTTGATGTCATCAGCAAACAGGAAAGGGGATCCAAGGGTAATCGAGTCGATGACGTTATTAACGTATAGTAAGAACAGCAGAGGGCCAAGCACACTATCCTGAATAACTCCACTGGTAATGGGGAGGGCTGAGGGGGAGGTATCCCCGATTTTGGTGGCCTGGGTTCTCCCAGTGAGGGAAGAAGCGAACCATCGCAGTACTGGGCCACCAATCCACGTAGCTTGTAATTTGTTGAGGAGTGCACCGTGGGGAACTTGGTCGAATACCTTGCGAACATCAAGGTAAATAAGGATAATACACTATCCGGTATCGTAGGCGGACGAAATATGATTTAAGAAATCAACCTGGCATGTGTTAGCTGACCGCCGTGCAATAAACGCATACCGCCGATTGTTAAAGGTTTTGTTGGCGAGCAGGTAGTCCATGACCGGGACTCTGATGAGGCGCTCTAGCGTACGAAGGAGTAAGCAGGTATGGTGGATGCCAAGATCGCCGCGGTTCGTGGACCTGACTAATAATGTGGGACAATCGTAGAGTGCTTCCACTGACTAGGGACTGTGCTAGTGATAAGGGGGATATTAAAGAGATTAAGGATGAGGGTGAGGAATTCCGAGCCACCAGCTTTTAAGATAAGCGAACGGATGCCGTCAATGCCCTGGAAACTGGAGTCTCCAAAGCAAGCGAATGCCAAATTTACGTCAGACCTAGTAACAGAGAGTGTGTAGTGGTTGGGGCTTGTCTCGTTAGCAGATGTGGCCGCTTCATAACCAGGTGGCGAGCAATAAGTAGATAGAGTCGATGATGAGGGAACATAGCAGCTAGCGAATTAGGAGTTTAGGGATTCCAAAATACCAGCAGGGTCAGAGAGAGGTCTTCCGTCAGCAGTCACAATATTCGAAACTGCAGATGAATTTGAAAAGCAACGCCGGCGAAAGAGGCGCCCCAGCATCTTACGCTGTAGAAAGTGGGCTATGGCAGTTGATTCCATAAGATTTTGAGGGCGAGTTTGGTCGTGGTAGTATCAGTCATAAGTTTTTATCACAATAAGGAGGCAGAGGTCATGGGATTCAAGGAAGAGCCTACGATACTTTCTGAGTTTATGGCGTATAGCGGGTAATCGTGTGGCTGGATGGCAACCAGAAGCATAGGAAGCTCGTGTGGGAGCAACTAGATATAATGATGGTAGTAAGTTGCCGTAAAAGTTGTCAGACACGCTTTGTGTGTCATCAGAGAGAGAAAACTCGTCCCAGGTCTCATGGCGCAATGAGATTGCAAAGGCTTCAAGAATGCCCGGATAAAGGATAAAAGAGGTTAAGGGAGGAAGATTAGCTGAAGGCAGAGTACTCGTCCAGCTGCAAGTTACAATACACTGGTCTCTGTCAGGAAACATCGGGCCAGCAGCAGCGGTGAGACACAAATACCCGTTGACAGGGGCAATGTCCAGGATGTGGGTACCGCGTGTGGGTTGCCTTACAAGCTGGGACAAGCCTTCGGCAGTAAGTTGGGCAAGCAGAGGCGAAAGGCGCAAAGGGGATTTTGATGAGACCAGGCAATATCAGGAACGTCGAGATCCCCAACAATTAGTTTGCTTGGTTGAGACAGAACTTGAGTGTGATAAAGAAGCGTGGATAGACGAATAACCGAGCTAATCCAGTGTGGAGGGGGCATTTACATACACCCGAGGATGAACGGCGGGTTAGCCCGACAGGAAGAAAGCCAAACAGAGTCTGGAGTGTCCGCCAGTAGTGGATCGTCAGTGGTGGAGACTTCCAATTCAGTTATAGCGTATATGAGGCGGCCACCTCCACGGCGGTGGGAACGATCAGAACGGAAGATAGTGTATCCCGGAGGGGAGATAAGGGCATCAGGCGTGTTAGAAGAGAGCCACGTCTCTGTTGGACGAGCTATAGTGGAGTTAGCTTGGGTGTTGTGCAATTTAGGTACTGGAGAGCGGGTGCTGATTAGAACAACAGAAAGATTGCTAGCGGGATCGGGGGAGTTGGGTAATGTGGCTAGCAAGAAGTTGACAAGAAGTTAACAGAACAGAAAGCAATTGGGTCCTTATGTCGCACGCAAAGTTTGCTTGCGGACGCTATAATGCCAAACATGCATTGGAGCAGTTTCAAGCCACGATGTATCCGCTATGCATTAGAGTTGACGAAAACTTCGTGTTTTTATTAACTTGGCGACAACTTGTTACTGACTTACAATGCACTCGGCGACACAAAATTGTTACGCGTGGCACTGGGCGCTGTGTTGGCTCAGAACTTTGAGGAATTATGCAAGCAAAAAAGAGGCCGGCGCATCCCAATATTTCATATTAGGAATTCCAAAAGGGTCACCAATCGCCTGCTAAAATCTGAATATATTCAAACTGCTGTGATGCGGCACCAGTATTCTCGTTCCTCTTGGGCTCTACGCCAGTTGTGGTCTATTTACATTGAGAAGAAGCGTATTCTTGAACTGTCTACTCGATTTTTAGCCTCTTCAAGAAAACCTAATTCCCCTCCCACGTTTTCACCCAGCTTCAGCGGTATGCGAAAATTAGCCAATACATGTTACATGAATTCCGTTTTACGGGCCCATCCCGCCGCAAACTTTGTGATGAGTCATACATTTTTCCGATATTCTGCCATCCGTCAAGAAGTGTCGATATCAGAACACGACATCCTTTGACCGTAAACTGACCAGCGTGTCTCGCAGAACAATCAGTGTCTACTAGATCCTTCAAACGCAAGCCGATCACCACATGTTACACGCTCCCGTCACTCAGCTGTACAAATTAATTTGGTTCCATGTGCTTCAGTGTCTGACGTTGCCGGTTCTCCTGAAGATGGTTCCTCTGTTCTAGTCAATCCAGCGTTTATTGCCAGGGATCCATCTGAACCGTTGATTCCCGGGGGTGGATCTAACGGTGAGTGTTGTGAATCACTCGGCATAAGAATTCTCAAGAAAAACTTTCGGCGGCTCTCCAAGAAACCAATCATCTTGTTCCCAACGAGACATCCGTTTATCAGGAGCTGTAAAATATACTTAGAATGCTCTGGTCGGACCAACGAACGGTTTTTAGTCCAGGCAGTGCTCCGTATTTCATTTGGACGGCTTAACATGCACTCAAAGTTTATAGAAAACAAGATTCATAAAATTCCTCAGCGTCCTTTTAGGCCGGCTCAAATCCCAATTGCATGATCTTTCTGGCATGGCCCCACTGAATTCGCGTAATTTTGCCAATATTAACTTTCGAGGTCATGTTCGCCGTTCCAAATGCAACGTGCTGAGAAACCCACTCCGGAGCTCAGGCTAGTCCTCTCTCATGATAGCGACAATGGTGAGGTGAATGAGTGCAGCCTAGAAGATCCAGTTGACCAGTTCTTGAGCTTGGCGCCAGTTGGCAGTCGGAGCGAGTGCAACGGCAAATATGGTCTTTCTGCCACAAGCGCAAGTTTTTGTCCATTTAGCCAGAGAAGTACGAGTCAAGTGGATCAGTCACATCTGAATACCATGGCTCTAACTCCATACAAAGTGAACAAATTACCTTTCGTATCAAGGTAGGATCATTGGACGCTATATCCGTTAATTTCGCGAAAGCCATTTTTTCTGAGATACGATTGTTTTTTGTGAAAGCTATGCTGAGACGTCGCCAGATTGACGTTTACTACGGTTCGCGATGTTAGGCCACGAATAACTTGTCCCATGACCACCAAGAGTACACACGCCAGACGATTTGTTCAATAGATTCAACTCGGCACTTTTTCCTTCCTCTTAAAAACCGTAACATTAGCATGCTTAACTTTTTGGGCAACCCTCACTTCCATAATGATAAACGCAAGAGACTGCAAAGTTCACTACCCGCACGAGTGGACCACCTCCTGCGACTATGTGAAACAAGGGCGTAAGCATATAATAATGATATAAATGATAATGATTACAATGTTTGCTCCAAACTTGTGGGTGGCATGCCGTAAGGCATGATCATACGATTTAAGACAGAATGAAGCATGACTGGGGGTCGCGGTTGAGGTGATTGCGCAAAACGAGGAAAATGACAGAGACAGTTGGGATATCCAGTGAGATAATAATAATAATAGGTTCATTTCTCAACTTGAAGGGAACAATGAACATGATGTTCGACTAGTTCAAGGATGAATTGGGCTGACATGAACTAAAAGCGAGAACCACTGCTAGCCACGAGTGGCCATGAGCGGTTGAGTAAATGGCCAGAGTCACAACAAGCAAAGATGGAGATAGAATAATTAGAAGTGGAAGCACATGGCAAGTTCTATCTCGAAAAGATGGTTTAACCTGAAAATAAGTAGACCCACTGGTGCCACCGTTGAAGGGAAGTCGGTGTAAGGGTTAGGTTTGCCGGGGGGATAGCGCTACTGTGTGTGGCTAAACGAACACCGTGTACGGAATCAAACCTGTGAAAGGGGCAAACCGAAATTGTAGCAGTAAACCAGGTTGGTCAAACCCTAACAAAAGTTTCATCGGGTTAGAATATACTCGTCCCAGAGGCTGTTAGGGCCGGGTGGGAGATCCGCTCGTATTTGCAATTACGGGCTCCAGTGGACGAGAGGTTGCGGTTGAAATTCTGAAGAAAGTAGTTGCGGGAGTGCCACCACACCGGGTATGGCAGTGCTATTCTACCATCGCGCTGACATAATTCGGCTTATGGACAGCCCCGTAACGGTCGTCAAGGGTGTCGCGATCGGAGAGGGATACCCGTTTCTGCGAAAGCTGGATCTGTGTTAGACGAGGAGAGGGAGTCAGGCCGATGTAGGGTCATGGATAATTTCCCTCTGGTTGAAGGGAAATGTGAGTGCAGACTGTGAAACAGCCAGACCGAATGAATACCAACTGTATGGGGCGTCTGGGCGGCTGGAGTTTAAATTTTAAGCCCGAGAAGACAGAGAATGTGGAAGGAATGGGGTGAGAGCGGTATCGTGTGGTGAGTGCCAGGAGGCATCAGATAAAACAGTGTCAATAGATCAAAAAGCTTGAAGTGGAAGATGGCACGCTAACTGGGCCCAGAAAAGAGCGAAATTGTTTACTAACCCAGGAGCCAAGTACTAGCTCGAATAGAGTAAGTGCCTAATTTTGGGAAGAGAAGGAATTTATCGTCGAGGTGTCCAGCAGAAAGGCCATCCGTTGGACTGGTTGGGACGGATGATTATATGGCGTTACTTCGCATCTTACTAAAAGAACCCGAACGTAGAATCTCCGTTTCTCAAAGTGGGGTTAATGTGAACACGGACAGTTCACAACTAATGGGTGGTCGGGCAACAGCTTCCGGTGGCGTGGTTAGAGGAACCAAACACGTAAGAATGGCGTGAGCGGGACTTCAGAGATACTGCACTAGGTTGCCCGGAGGGTATTAGTGGAGTGGCTAACAACAGAACAATCTAGGAAGGAGGGCGATTGTAAGAGGATGGTCACCAATCTTCGAAACATTACTGCCTGCTTTAATCTGTAAGTGGTGTATTACGACGAAGACATTCATGTCCAATGCTGGGAGCAACGAGTAGATCTGTTCTTTGTTTTGCTGAAGAAATGGACTTTGGTGCGATGTAACCTCTGTTCTGACGAATTCAGATGCAGCTATGCTCGTTGATGTAGGCCACGGGCATCGCATAATATCTTCATGCTACCACAGGTATATTTTGTGACAGACGAGAGGCAAGTTTTTTCATCTGTGGTTTATAGCGTTGGCAGATAAATAATTCAACCGGGGTGAGCACAACACCGGCAGCAACAAACGGAAGTCAGCAGTACTTTTTTGATTTTCTGAATGTAATGGCCAGGTTTAGAACCGCCGGCGATGGGCAATGCACTCGAACTACTCACTGGGTGGCAGGTATATGAATGCACAAAGGTGCAACGTAAATAGGTGACCATCTCTACAGGCCGTGCCTGTCCACCACACAAGGTTTTCATCGCTCGTGCGTGCTGCCAGAGTTGCAGGGTGGAAAACCATCCAAGGGCTCGTAAATGCGGCTTGGGCATCAATAAGTGCACTAGCTACCACTTTTTCTTATCGGGGGAGGACAAGGACAGTAAAGAGAGCTCAGTCAATTCGAACAAGCAAATAACATACAGACGCCGGTTAAGGTAAGTCGCCAAGAAGACAAGTGCATTGACAGCTGCAAACAGGCCCGTTGGAATGGAATGGTGATATTCACGGCGAGTACACTATGACGAAACGGCGTCTTATTGTTGGTGTGAGCTACCCTGTCAAGCAAAAGCGTACCGCGTTGTTGTGCGTGTGTTCAGCAAGGCAAATCATTGGATGGATATATATAGGCGTAGAATGCGTCTCGGTAAGCTCTGGAAGAATGCTAACTTTGGTTCGGTTTTTGTCAGTAGAGTTAGGCCGGGAGCGATGGGCGCTAGACAGAGCTAGAAGAGTAGGCTGAGGTATGGACTAGACTAGTGCGAGGCCTAAGTTGGTCGGGGAAAAAGAAAAAAACCAGGCCAGTAACACAGCACATTTGGATCAAGTAGAAAATCAGGTCCCACATTAGCAAGTCAAAAGGATATGAAGAAATGATAACAGGATCTTTTACTTGTCCGCAACTGTATCGTTGCTAAACTCAAATGTGCATTGGACCCAATTCGTAGAGGTAGGAGAATAGTTGGGTATTAATTAAGGCGGCAGCAGTTTCACGGGTAAGGAACTTGTCTACGGGCTGAGAAAAGTATGGTGGTGCGCGGCGTTTAAAAGCTGCTCAGGAAGGCTGTTTCAGATGCGAGCGGTATAAACTAGAAACGAGTGGCTTAGGCTCGTACATACTAGGAGGTTGCAGGAGTTACGGCGTCTGTGGTGGGGTCGTGAGTATACGTTTGATCCACTCTGCTATAAAGTCGTTTTGGTACAGCAGACGGTAGGAGAGTTAGGTTCAATTTTAACCGTCTGAGTCCCAGCGGATCGAGGCCTAGGATATGACAGCGGGAGCGGTAAAAGAGGGGTAGAACCGGAGGAACAGCTTTTTCGTGAATGAGCGTTGGACACTTCCAATTGCGAGTCTGCAACTTTGGGTGTTAAAGGGGAGAATGCGGGAGAGAATTCCACGAGTGCTCTTACGCAAGGCCTAAAAATTGCAACGTGCTCTGTCAAACTGAAACTGCGCCTGGTAGGAAAAGCTGAACTTACAGAGACCAGCCGTACCCAATAACCGAACACTACATCACTTTGACGGATGTGGCACGTGCAGGACACGGACCAAACGAAAGCATGTCCTAATTGGTCAGAATGCCGGCGAATCCGAGCCAGGCACCTTTGACGCGACGCTTTTCGCCCCCTACGGAGATTCTGGTACGACATTGCGGAGCGCCCTGTGACTACCCTTTAATACAGTGGTAGTAATTTCCCTTTGTCTCCATAAAGGGCCGCGTAGAGCTACCGTGCCTTTTTATATACCATAATGGGCGGAGCAGGAAGCCAAGGGACCGATACAGAGTTGCACCACCGTTCAGCAAGATACAACAACAGGAGTATCTGAGGTCGAGATGTTCAATCTCCGTGGAGTGAATGATAGGGTTTACATTATTTGTGAAGGTGTCAGCCGGGAGGGAACAGCAGAAATTTTCCTAGATTTCCTAAAGAGGAAGCTTAGGCCAGAGTCGTTTGATCGGCCAGTCAGTGAATCTAAGTCTTGCATAATCTGGTTAAAGACAAGGACTCATGCAGAAGGGGAGAGGTGCACGAGATTTTTATATAGTCCGCAAAGAGGAAAGTCTTACAATGTGACATGGCGCAGAAGATTTCATTATTGTACAGTAAGAAAGGGATTAGTCCTAGCACCCTTCTTTGGATGGCTTCACTGGTGATCGCAGGTCATACTTTCAGTCTGACCGTGACATTGTAATAATGATAGTAATGTATATTCCCACAAGTTGGAAAATAAACATCATTGTTGTTGTAGTGGAGATGATTTATGTCCTGCGTCTTGCATGATAATCTCGAGGCGAACCACTGGAATAAGGTTCCAGTGATGGTAAAGGTACTAAGTTTGTGTTGCAGGGAGGCATGGCGGACCTGGTCAAAGGTTGTTTGAATATTCATACAAACTGCTACTGTGGATCATCTAGCGTAGTAGGCTACTGTGATGTTCTCAAAGAGCTGGCAGCAACTAACGGATCGTTGAGACAGGAATACATACTGCCGGTCATCTATGGCAAAATTAGCCAAGAAGAACATGGTTAATGGGTCTTGTACCAGGCGTCGAAGGGTTCTCAATAGGAGGGAGGTGTGGTGGATTTGCCTGTAGTTGGATAGAGTTCTTCTGGAACCGGATTTGAAGTGCGGGTGGATGGATCATAGATTTCTTCCACTGGTAAGGGACGATCCCACAATTTATATAGTGAGTAAAAAGGTTTAGCACAAGAATTCCAATATATTGGCCTCCATGTAGCAAGACACGGGGTAGAAAGCCGTTAGGCCCTGGAAAAACAGAAGAACGGAAGTTTTATCATCCTGGGAGAGCGTTATATTACTGAGAGTCGGGTGGTTACCTTGACCGGTAAGGATTTATAGAGATGCAGCGCTGGGTACG